TATATTGCAGCTTACCTTTCCTTAACTTAGTTTATCTGCGTTCGTTTTTAATTTTCGGCTTTTCCACTTTATTTCACCTGGTAATGCTGCGCATAACACACTTCCTGTCCCTTTGTGGCTACATGTTGCCTTTGTGGCTTCTCCATGGTATCCATGAAGGCAGCCTTGGATGTCACGCAGGCTGGACTTTAACTACCTCCCATCCATGGCCATTCCTGAACGGCCGGACGGGAGCCTTATAGGAGCGGGAGGCGTCTTAAGACGTCCTGCCCCTCCCCCCACTCGTGCGTGGTGCCCAGCGCGCACACGAGTGGGGAAACTGTCAGCAATGTAAACAGCGAGCGATGGCTGTTTACATTCAAGCGATCGGGCGTCTCTAGAGACGCCCGATCGCTTGTAGTAGCTGCGGGTGTGCGGCCCCCCTCATCCCCGCCATCTCCATCACCGGTGCTGCCGGTCCCGAGATCCGGTGCTGCTGGGACCAGCACAGCGACGCTGTCAGTGGAGTTCAAAGGGAGATCATTACACGATCTCCATTTGATCTCCTCTCTGTTCCCCGAATGCAGGAAGTGATGTATATTACATCACTTCCTGCATTCAGTGTCACTCTCCGGTTACAGATGCCGGTGAGAAGCTGATGAAGCAGATCTCTGCTTCATGAGCCTCTCTGGGGGACCTTGGGTGACATTATGGGTCTTAGAGACCCCTGATGTCTTCATAACGAGGACGTGTCATGTGAATTGGCTATCACATAGGGGATTTCTTAGTTCCCTATGTGATAGCAATAAAGATAAGTGTAAAAAAAACTAAAGCATAAAAAAATAAAGAAGCTAAAAAAAAAGTCACAAATAATTTTTTTTTTAAATAACACAAATTTGTTTTTAAAGTTTCCCCCCCCCACATACACACACATACACACGCAAACATGCGTCGGGTGCGCCAACATGCGAAAACGACAATTCCACCTAATGTGTCGCACATGTTACATATCACCGCGAACGTCGGAATGAGAGCAATAATTTTACGGCCATTAATTACTCATAACAGTAAAAGCTTTTAAAAGCTTTTAAAGCGTCGCCTATGGCCAATTTTTGGAGTGGTAATTTTCTGCGATTTCGCAGGCACACACAATTTTAAAGCTTGACAAGTTTGGTATCTATTTACCCGACGTGACCCCGTCTTTTATATTTTAACCAAAAAAATGGGGTGATAATAAATGTTTCATTACATTTCATAGGGAAACAGGTTTTTTTTAAAAAAATGTTGGGTACTTTTTTTGTTATATAGTAAAAAAATAAAAACCCCAGTGGTGATTAAATACCTCCAAAGGAAAGCTCTATCTATCCCCAAAAAATGGTATGAAATTTGTTTCAGTACAGCGTTGCATGACGGAATAAATGTCAGTGAAAGTACTGCAGCGCTGAATACTGAAAAATGGCCTGGCCAGGAAGGGGGTCTAACACCCCGGTCTTCAAGTGGTTAAACATGTCTGCCTGTGTTCATCTCCTTTATATGATATATTGGTGGGACTAATAGTTTACAAAATAGATAACATTGTTTATGTTTCTTTTTCAGTTCGCATGATATAACAAGGACATTGTATTTCTGGCAAGATCAACAGATATTTTCTGTACTTGCTAAAAATTTTCTTAGTCTGAAAAAAGTAAATGAGCCATCACATCTGAGGACTGGTAAACTTTAATATATTACATTTTTGTTTTTGGGTAAGATGCACTTTAAAGATTAAAAACAGAATCCATCTGTTAAAAGTCTTGTGTATGTTTCAAAGGTTTAAATGAAGACAGATTGAAAACAGTCTGTGTGGCTAATTGTGTGGCTATATGCAGTGCCCTAGTGAGGTCGCTAAGTGCTTGTTTCATACTAATCAAGGACTGGTTTACAAATCTGTTCCTAAAGGACACACATATGAAATGAAACGGCAGGCATTTAAGTACCAGAAATCACATAAAAATTACTCTAACCTCAGTGTTACTAATTTTACAATGCGTCAGCTTCCCTTTAAGTAAGGAGTGCAGAACATAAAGCATATCTAAATCCAAGAACAAAAATGGAATATATTGCAGCTTACCAGTCCTTAGATGTGGTATAGATGTGGTGTTAGGATCCAGAATAGCAGCTCCAGTGCTCACCTGCGGGTGTTTCCCAGCTGCCAGTACTTAGCCATCACCTGGTGCTTCCTGGGAGGATATTTAAACCCTCCCTGCAGTCAGGATGATGGCTCAGTATTGTTTCCTGTGAGTCCTGATCCCAGTCCTGAAACTTGAACCCTGATGGTTTCCTGTGAATCCTGAGTCCCCAGTTCTGTCGCCATATCCGGTGAACCCTGCTTTCCGTCCAGAGTCCTGTTACCAGTCCTGAACCCTCTTTGTGTCCCGAGCTCGGTTACCCATTTGCAGTCCTAGATACCTCCTGTTGCCATTACCTGCCTCTCCTCCTGTTGCCATTACCTGCCTTTCCTCCTGTTGCCATTACCTGCTTGTCCTCATGTTGCCATTACCTGCTTGTAGTCTTGTTGATGTTACTTATTTATGTTTGCTTTTGGGTGTTGTTTAGTGTTGCTGTTTATTAAACCGTATATAATACATTCTGCCCTGTCAGGTGTGGTCATAAGTGTTCGGTCTGCCTGTGTGGGTAGCTGCGCAGGTGTGGGGTCACCTGTGCCGGTATCCCTGACATGTGGTGACTATATTATTTTTTAAAGATTTTTTCCCCTTTATTTTTCCCTTGTGAACCATACTGTATCAAGAAGCAGGACTACAGAAACCACACTCTCTCCTCTTCTCCACAACACAGATGGGAGGGATTCTGTAGTCTTCATGGATAAATGGGAACTCAACTGACAAGATATCTGGCAAGATCCTGAGATACTCTGTGACCCCAATCTCTTTCAGTCAAAAGTAAATTAAAAAACACAAAAAATAAATACATTAAGATATAAAGTGCTGTCACAAGTCAGTTACACCTTGGTGTGCAATACAATTCAGATATTCCCTCCTTGCTATATTTTCATCTTTTGGCCCAGTGATGCAAACTGCTCACATGGTCACCATCATAAACAGCTTGTATATATTGTTAATTCACACAATATGGTGCAACACAATATTCCATTTCATAGAGGGTAGCAAATAAGCATTCACTGTAATAACCTGCTGTCAACTGAGGTGATCGAGGATATCACCTTATTAATTGATGCATATCAGTGCTTCCATTAGGCGTGAGTGAAACTGGCTGATTTCACATTGACGAAACTTACAATTTTTTTTTGTATAATTTCACCTGTAGGCAAAATTAATTTGAATCAGTCAAAAGGGTTCCATTATGTTTGGGTTTTTTAGGCTTGTTAAAGGAGAACTATGAGATGAGTGATTTCCACTCACCTCATAGTTCTAGCCGACCTGTGACAATGAGACTGTCACAGGTCGGCTCAGTAGATCGGGCAGGTGAGCGAACACATACCAGGATCGCTCACCTCTAGATGCTGTCACGGCTCTCTGCCGTGACAGGGGGAGGGCTGGGTCCCCCTCTCTGATCTGCCAGCGCTGACTGGCGGAACGGACGGGGGAGGGGGCGGGTACAGCTGGCTCTGCCTCCAGATAGGCAGAGCCAGCTGTCACTCACGCAGCTGGGCGGATCCCGTCATCTACGTCGGGATCCGCTCCGGCTGCGGCGTCTCAGTATACCGCGAGCTGTAGCTCTCGGTATACTGAGCTTAGGGTAACGGGAGGACGCTAGTTTGTGTCCTCCCGTTACTCTAAGGAGAACTGTGGGGAAAAACACTGACCCAATAGTTCTCCTTTAAGGGCTTTTCTTTGTTTTTGAGTTTTTATTACTTTGCTGTTGCCAATTACAGACTTAAAAGAGATCTTTATATCAAATCATTTAGAGGTCATTTCAAATCATATAGTGATACATTTGGTATCACTATATCATAGCATTTTTGAGTCCAATTAATCCTTATCCCATTCTAAGCCCTGATGAAGAGGGTTTTGTTTAATCGAATTGTGAACAATTAAAGGCATTTTTTTGACTCTTTCATCTTTTGGCTTGACACCTTTTATTTCTGAACACTGCAATACATTATCAAAAATTACCTTTGCATTTCAGTGTCCATCTTATTTTCTTAAGTAGCCAAAAATGTTAGTGTAATTTCCTTGTTTCTATGACAACACTGTTTTTGTATAGCATCCCCCTAAAATCTAATTTACTTATGTAACTGCTTAAAGGAGAACTATGGGGTCAGTGTTTTCCCTCAAAGTTCTCCTTAGGGTAACGGGAGGACACAAACTAGCGTCCTCCCGTTACCCTAGGCCCAGTATACCGCGAGCTACAGCTCGCGGTATACTGAGACGCTGCAGCCGGAGCGGATCCCGACTTAGACGACGGGATCCGCCCAGCTGCGTGAGTGACAGCATCTCAGATATTTTTATCTCTTAAGCTCTTACACCAGTACACCGCCTATAAACAAGAGAATTGTTTACATTTCGGCTATGGGCCTATTGATTTTGCAGTAACTTTGTCATTACTTAAAATAACAAAGTAATACATAATATATTTTTAGGACAAACTTGTTTTTTTTTTTTAAATGTAAGCCTTAGACAAAAACACAAAGCAAAATGACAGGACGTAGTAGTGTACACATGCCTTATTTACTTCCATGAAGTGTGTAGCATGTTAATATAACACTGGGTGGATTATGTGAATGTAGGAGACCGGCACTAAAACTTGTAATGGCTTGTAAAACTCTGCAGTAAAGTTTGCTGAAATTATTGAAATATATGGAGCTGAACTAGACAGGGTTTTGTTTAATGGAAAGCAGAATTACACCTTAAACTACTGTGTAACAGGTTGCTGTAACTTACTTTGCATAACATATCTTATTAAGCTCATTCTAATTAACCATTTTCATGCCCTTTTTTTAATGTCTTAAAATGCAAGTGTACAAGGTTTTCCAGAATAACACTGTCCTCTCTTTCTTTTAGCTGTTACGCGAGTTGAAGCACCCAAACGTAATTGCATTACAGAAAGTATTCCTGTCTCACAGTGACAGAAAAGTTTGGCTACTCTTTGATTATGCAGAACACGATTTGTGGGTAAGTCTGCAGTTCAATACACTTTTGAAAGCAATTTTTTTTCATAAAAACGCAAAAAATATAGGGTACATCAATGGCCGGCAATAGTTTTACCTGAATTATGTTTCAAAAATCAAAGTCTACACCTTATTTTTCTGCAAATAGTTATCGATTATGCAACCAAATTGTATGAATTACCAACAAACCCATACTTACATTGAACTTGTGCCCATATTATGCACACTATAATATTTACATTTTGTTAGCAAATAGTAAAAGCGCTTTAAAACAAGCCCTCATTCACCTTTTGTTTCTATAGCCATTGCAGAGAAATATATCTTCAAAGTTAACAGAGGCATGAAATCCCACCCCCAGAAGAGACACAGTATGTCTTTTCTGCAATAAACTTCTTTCCTGCTCACCTTTCTCTCCAGCCGCCATCATGGGCCCCATGCACGCTTCGGGGAAGGGCTTGTCCCAGTCAGCACTCCCATACAGACGCAGCGTTCCCACTTGGCTGAAACTGACGTCTGATGACATGAAGGAACAGATCTACAAACTGGCCAAGAAGGGTCTGACCCCATCCCAGACTGGTGTTATCCTTGTCCATATACATGACAAAACTTCAGTAAATGTTAATGCTTTTGAGTGCGTGTATGTGCAATTTACTAAAAACGAAAGGGTGTAGATCCATCCCTGTAGTGGGAATGCACTGCCAGTCAGAACATAAATCTAAGAGCTTAAGGAGTTAATAATTGCTTTATTCAAACAATAATAAGGGCTTGTGTAGATGAGCATGCATTTAAGTACACTCCGCTCGCATTTGAGATCAATGTGAGATGGTTTTGAGCTCTTCCATTCCCATTGACCTGCATGGGGAGAAATGCAGTTCTGTTCCCCAAAAATGCCCTTATTCTTTTATATGTCTTCTTTTAGACTTTTACACCTCATGTAAAATAACTGTGTAATAACTTACAAGTATTGTACTTTTAATTCTAGCACATCATCAAATTTCATCGTGCCTCAAAAGCAAACAAGAAGCCCATGCAGCTGCCTCGCTCAATGGTCAAGTCTTTGCTGTACCAGATCTTGGATGGAATTCATTATTTGCATTCGAACTGGGTGCTGCATCGAGATCTGGTAAGTGTGTGTGTGGGGATTTAGTGCATAGCAAAACATTTTACATACTTTAAAGAATACGTTAACATGTTATGTAGAAATGAAATATGCTGAAAGGTTGAAATACTAAGCCCCTTGCCACAGGTTAGTAGAAAATGATGCCATTGCCTCGGGATACATCGATACCCTGCTGTATGTGCTCTATACTGTAAGACAGATTTTTAAAATAATGATAAGCAAAGCAATACACATTGAACTACAGCATAACTAGGATAACTAGCATAAGGTAATTTTTTCCCATAAAACACATCCCAGTTTTGATTTAGACTTCTGGTTTCCTATTGGATTTGGTTTGTGGAAACCTGCCTCAGGTCTTAGGGTGTGGTAGTTCCCCACAGTAGGACCAGGAAGTTCCTCCTGTGGAACTTTGTAGATTCAGGTATCCGCATTGGCTGCATCTGATAGGATACAGTGGCTGTTAGGCCGATAATTTTCTACCCAGCTCAGTTGACTTTTTGTGGTGGTGCTTGCAGGGCCATCGACGACTCAAATTTATCTGTTTCAGCAGGAATAGGCTGAAAGGCGAACTACTCTGTGGCCAGCTTTAAAGTGGAACTATGGGCAAAATCAAAGATGAGAAATACAGAATGACGCAGTGAGTCATTAACATCAAGTTAGAAGAAGTTTTTGCTTTTTTGATTCCCCCTTAAAATTATTTATTACCTGGTAAACCAGCCAATAAGTCTATTATTTTTCAAATTCTTTTTACAGACCAAGCTGTCCAGAAAAAGTGCTGCTGTCCAATGGTGCCTATGTTGCTCCTCCATTGATGCAGTGGAGGAGTGAATGTAGCCACCCCAATACAAGAAGTTTGTTACTGACTGGATTACCAGGTGAAAATAAAGGGGTAAAAAACTGAGAACTAATGCAGCCATCACATCTAAAGATTGCTAAGCTACATCTTTTATGTAAATTGCGATAGTATATTTACATTCTAGATGTTTTACATAAATACTGATGTAACTTAGTGGTGATTGGTTCTCCTAAATGGGAAGCAAAGTCATTATAAAATAACATTGGTACTTTATAGGAACTGGAGCAAAAAGTGGTGCTTGACCCATAGCAACCAGCTGGGTTTCAAAATGTTGTACAATATACGTATGCGCTGCTAAAGAAAATAGAAGTGAGCATTAATAATCATTGTCTTTCTATCTCACGTGTACTGGAAACATTGTGGTGATGAGCTGGCTGGACAATTGAGAAAGATGAACAGTATATTATTAGCCTGTAGAAATGGGATCTCAAAGATTTATAGTCATACAGAAATAGGTATTCTAACCCCAAACTGTCATTTCAAAGAACACAAAGGTTTGCATATGTGCATCATATTTTTTAAGCTTTCATAACTATTTGTGACGGTAAAACATCTGAATATCCAAACATGCTGAACTTAATTAAAAATTGTAATCTGTAATATAAGGGATAACAATAATTACCTTAGATGCACCTTGTTCACCTTGTATGTTCAGCTTATACATGGTTAAGTTAGTGTTTTTTTAAACTTTTGTTTAAAAGCCAACATTTAATTAATTGACCCCTTCGTGACGGGAGACGTACACTGTAGTTACCGCCACAAAGTGCCCAAATGACTGCTCACGTACACTGTAAGTGGTTAGCTATTTGGGGTTCTGTAAGGCTGGTAACCTTCCTGATTGCCCTGAAGCTGGCTCCATGTTAGCGGAAGTACCACTATCGGAGCTTGCTATCGGCGAGTACCAACATACAAGTATCGGTATTGGTACTCGAAAAACCGGTATCTGTGCATCCCTAATTTTGAAGATTTAAAAGTTTAGTGTCACTTTAAGTTAGGGATGCACAGATACCAAGGACTCGTACTAGTACAAGTACTGATACCTTTCCAGCTCCAAGACTAGACTAGAGAAAAACTCAAAGTTAGGAGGCAGCTGGTAGGGGTGCCAGGGCCCAGTCGCAGCTGCATCCGCATCCGCTGCAACCTTGGTAGTTCCCGTGAAAATGCCAAGTATCGGCACTGGTATCGGTACATCCCTACTTTAAATATAAGTGTGTCTGCTCTTACAATTTTCACTTCCCCTTACAAAATCCCACAAATATATGTTGGCCCTAATGCAGCTTCCTGTGATGGTGTAGCAATGATTCTGCACTGCTCCTAAATTCAGAGCAGAGTTGCCACTCTCAAGTAGGCTGCGCCTGCTTTCTGTACAGTGGGATGAAAAAATGTTGCAGGGGTAACTGTTGCTTCACAAGTCTGTAGCTTGTCAAGCAGAACCTGGCCATTCCTAGTCCTGTCCATTGCTTTCTGAATGGACAGCACTGCTTCTTTTGCTGAAACCTTCCTGCTGTGAGCTGGCGAGTCTGAGGGGGCAAGGGTGTAAAACACAAATGAAGGAGGATTTGACTTGGTCAGGGAAGGTGAAGGAGGATTTTTTGTGTAATTTATGAGGTTTGTGCATCACATACTAACTGAATTTGGTACTTGTTTAGACATACAGAAGCATTTAGTCATATTTTGAGTAGTTTCTAAATGTGCATGTACCATTGTGAACTGTAGCAAAATAAACAGGCCTGTGAGCATAGAACTTATTTATTGCAAATACAGTAACATGTTCTCTTGTAAATAGTATGCTAAATACCTTTCGTTGATGTTTAAACTGTTCATAATACACTGCACCTATCTAGCAGAACCCAGGACCTAGTCTGCCTCAAGGTGGCCATACACTTTACAACCATCGCTAAACTTTTGTCTTGCGAGGGTTGTAAAGTATTTTAAAAAACATACGCTCTGCCCATCTCGGACAGCCAGATCGTACTTGCGATCATCGCAAGCCCGCCCCCCTGGGGGTTGGATTCTGATGACTGCAATGAGGGGCGGGCTTCTGATGACTGCAAACGGGCAGTGTGCGTGTGCACACATCGGCCCGTTCAACAGTTGTGGAACAAGCAGGCCACTAACAAGCAGGGTTTTCCAGCCTGCTTGTTCGACGGAAGACGTGCGACTGTACAGTAGAAACGGTCGCACGCCTTCCATACACTTTGCGATTATCGTACCATCGCGGGATTTCCGATAATCGTACAGTGTATGGGCACCTTAAGAGCTAGCAGGCACTGTTGAGTAGCCTGAGAACATGTGGTTTTGTTGAAAAACAAAAAAGATTCAAAGTCGTCAGCTGGCTCCTATAATTAATTTAGCCCTGGTATAAAACTGATATTAAGTTTATGTAGAGAGAATAAAATATATTTAGCATGCACTTTTAAAAGTAACACTTGCCTTTTAACCCTTCTATAGTGAATTTTAATATTTCTTGTATAGAAAATAAAGTGAAAACATAGTGCCTGTTAATTTCTTATTATCTTGCTTTTTTTTTTTTTTTGTAACAGTTATTGTTTGTGATGTGAATTTTTTTGAGTACTCAGATTTTCAATAGGTTTTATTTTCATTGTGTGCATTAAGAATGCAAGAAGCTTATTTTAGGCCTCATGCGGAATGCTATCAGCATGTAGTCATCTGTCTGTAAGGTAAAACAATGAAGAATGGACTAAGGAAAGTAACAAGTCATTTGGTAAATATTCCCACGGGAACCTAATTCCAAGTCTGCTCTCCAAAACATAGCTCCCACGTTGTTTAAATTACACGCATTGTACACACATTGTTTAATGTTACATTTTTGTAGGGTCAATAATCCAGATATTCCAAATTTTCTGTTCTAATGTTAGCCTTTTTTGTTTGGAATTTGGCAGCATATAATTGGGATTCTGTTTGTCATCTTTGGTACCCTCTTCACCACTGTGTGTGTTATTTTGCTCTTTCTCTAGCCTGTTAGGCTGCAGTTGTTTCTTGTGGTGTCTCTTCTCTCATCTACCTAGTTTGATTTAATCTCTCTGGGTATAAAAAGTATATGCTTTGCAGGGATTGTTGGGGCGCTGTGGGGATTGTCTATACTCCAAGATGGTCTGCCTAACTTTCCTATCAACCTTTATTGCACTTAAAAAGACCTCTAGCCTATGTTATGAAGCTGCTTGAATGTTGCCCATTTCTACCTTTTGCTTGTGTTATGATTTGAATGTCTCCTGCCCTGACCTTTGCCTGTTTACAGAATATACTCTTGCCTATTTATTTGGAGCTTCGCTAAAGTGGTCTTGCTCCACAACAGGTTTCAACAGTGTGGCGAATTTGATGGTTGCAGGTGGAATTCTTGCATAGAAAATAAACCACCTTGCAAAGAACAGGTATTTCTTAGACTTTAGAATTGTTAGAAAATACAGGGCTATTTTATAACTAGGTACGAAAGGAACCAAAAATAAGATTTATTAATACTGGTACAGCAGCTGTATCAATATCAAAAGATATTGGTGTAAAATTGTAAACAGGGAAATACAGCACTATTAACACTTTTTTTAAAAACAATAAAGCATTACAAAGCGCTCAACAACACAATTGAGTATAGAACAGGGCTCAAAGTATGTATATAAACATGAGCGTACATTGTCATACATAGAAAAAGGTTATACATCAGTGAACATTGATAAACGCGAAGATGGAATAGCAATGTTACAAGGATGGATAAATAACAAAGTAGGTATACATAGATTATAATTACATATAAACATTGTCAGGCACTTTGTATAAAGGGGAGGGTGAGAAGGAAAGAAAGAGAAAAAAGGAGGGGAGTAAGAGGAATAGGAAGACAGGCGTGGACAGAGAGAAAAGAAAGATCTAGATTTGCAATATTATTCAGTCAGTCACAATATTATTTCCTTAACCATCGTTCCCAACATTTATGAGAGGTAGCACAGTTATTATAAGTTAGAGCGAATGTGCATTCATAGGAGCATTGTAAGCACTACCAACACTTTCAACTATATAAATATGTGGTTCAGTTTTGATCACTAATCCTTAGGAAGGATATCTTTGAACTAGAGAGATCAGAGAAGGGCAGTGAAATAAGGGAGATAGAGGACCTATGTTTTGAGGATTAACTACA